ATTAGTTCTTTGTGACACCACCTGCGTAACGGTAAATAATGTCAAAATGTAGACTTGATAGTCTCCGTTCCACCATGACTTTATATTGGTCGTGGTAGTGACTTGACTCACTGATTGCGTACTCAAAATCGTTATAATATAACGTATTCAACCCTCTGTATGTTACCTTATAAGTAGATATCCCGGTATATATATATATAGAGAGAGAGAGAGAGAGAGAAAATTTAAGAAAAAATTAAAATCAAAAGAAAGGATTATGATAAACGACATTTGAAGAAAACAGCCCCATCCCACACTACCCCCCCCCAAAAAAAACGCTGCATAAATTAAAAGAATCCCCAGAGTACCGGCTATAATGTGGGATATAAAATGAACCCTGGGGATCCTTTTAACTTTTGCAGCGTTTTCAATTTTGATTCGGCCTGTTTTGTTCGTTGATATATATATGTGTGTATTATATCGGTGAATAGCCGTCTAGTCAAACACAGGATGTCTGTTTCAACAATGGGCAGTGGCAACACAGTTATGAGTATGTATATATGTATACACACACACACACACACTCCGTTAATATGTATATCACCTGGTTTTCTTTACTCAGCAGTATCTAACATACAAATGTTATTGTATACATCTGTATTATCAACACATTCATCCATGATTCACTATTAGTTAGTATGCAATTCAATTGGAAGTTTCGTAATTCATCCATCTGTGTGGCGTCATTAGTGTCCTTCCGGTGTATTAACACATTTGTTCTACGTCAGAGATTGTTGAAAGAAGTAATTGTATCGAATATCTGGCGGTTAAACTTGTTACTTTAGGTGAAATGTAAGAAAAGTATTTTTTGTTTTAATCTCCCTTGAAAATCATGTCTCGTGCATGTAAACCAAATTAATCTTCAACACTCAGCAGACTGCAGGTGAGCCTGGTGTACTGGTATTAGAAACTCTCAGAAATTTCTTTATGTAAATATTTAACGATGTAAAAGTTTTACCATGATATATAACAATCGACGAAACTTGTCCAAACATCTAAAGTATCGACGGTGAAACCGTGAAGACGAACAAGTTTTTATCTTGGGTTAGGAATATCATTAGTTTTCGTTTTCTATAAAACTCAAACGTCATTATGGTTGTTTGATTTGAATTTCGCGCAAAGCTACGAGAGTTATCTGCGCTAGTCGTCCCTAATTTAGCAGTATAAGACTAGAGGGAAGGCAGCTAGTCATCATCGCCAACTCTTGGGCTACTCTTTTACCAACGAATAGTGGGATTGGCCGTAACATTATAAAACCCCCACGGCTGAAAGGGCGAGCATGTTTAGTGTTAGACGGGGATTCGAACCCGCGACCCTCAGATGACGAGTTGAGCGCCCTAACTACCTGCCCAACGACATTATGAATAGCTAGTTTTGATGAGTTTCATAAATTTACAGCCATGACTTTAAAACTCTTTTGGTTACACAATTCTTTAACTTTACAATCACTCAGATTCAGAGTTCTCAACTTTACAGTCCTTTAGTTTCGTAACTCAAAAAAAAAATAATTACATAATTTTCAAAACAATATATCGTTCGTCTGTAAAAAATATTTCAAACACGTAGCTGTATATGTACGTACAATCTCTAGGCTAAGTCCAACCAGATTCACTTTCTAGGTCCTGTAGTTAAAGTACTCGACTCTCAATCTGGGGGTCGCGGGTTTGAATCATCTCTCTGAATATGCTCGCCCTTTCAGCCATGGAGACGTTATAATGTGACGGTCAATCCCACTATTCGTTGCTTAAGGGTATCATATTCCAACAGTTGGCGGTGTTGACTATCTGCATCTTCCTTCTAGTCTATCACTGCTAATTTAGGGACGACTACCCCCCCCTCCCCCAAGTAGCTTTGGGCGAAATTCAAAAACAAAGAAACTGACCCAAGGAGTGAAACTTCTATCTGGGTAGATTTTATACAGAAAAAAAATCTAAAATTTATTCTAAGTAATCTAAACAAAACAATCGTTGGAAAAAAGGTCCCTTCAAAATATATCTGTGGAAACCAATTTGGGATATCAGATGAAGCACGTAACAGGCTGACACCTTTCGTTTTCACATCTCGCAACTACAACAACTTTATCAGTTTACGGACTAAAACTCCTGAAATCCCGGGTTCGATTCCCGTGGAGGACATAGTGCAGGTATCCTTTTGTATAGCTTAGCGTTAAAAAAAAGTGTTTCATCTTAAATCACGACGCTACGTCCGAAATTCAGTTTGGATACCAATCATTACGTCAGCTTTTGATATAGTGTTAATATTATAAACACTTACGAGTTATACGTTATTTTTAACTTTCACTCATAAGTGTTTATAATATTAACACTCTGTCATCATCTAGATGCAATACTACAACTTCACTTTCCAGCACTGAGCGTTAGAAATAATGTATGATAAAAAAAACACTTAAGAAGCTCAACTTCGGATCGAGGTAGCCCTGCCACAAGCAAATAAAAAAATTGCCTAGAAATTAATGAAACTAAACATTCTTGCCGAGCTATAGAAACAGTTGTTACAGTGTTTGAAATGAAACAATAAAACCTCTTATTTTACAATATAGTTGCAGTTTCAACGCTGTATTAAGCTTCAGAAAAAAACTGTTTTACATTTAGTAAAACATAATAGTTTCTTTACCCATTGTAAAATAGACTCATCAACATCACGTGGTATGCAGGACGCAAGTAAGTGTTCGATATGGCGAAAATAATTGTTTATTATCATTTGTAAACCACTCTATTACAAAGTAAGTTTAGGAAAAAAAAATATGCATTTCCAATTTCGATATACCATATTCTCTTTACTATGTATTACCTACGAATAATACAAGTATTAAATGTAATTTGTCAATTATTATCGTTATACTTTACGGAATGCTTTATATATATTTTTATTCTTCAAAGTAAATGAAAAACAAGATTAGGTTCATATAGACAATATTTTTTTTAAATTAAAATATAATATTAGGTCCACTTCTACCTTTACTTTAGAGGAAGACAAGAAGGACTAAGGCACCTTACAACGCACCATATTCAGTATATAATATGACAAACTCTTGTGCGACTTAAAAAATTTGGGCAGACTTTGCCCTTCGGGAGATCCACAATTCTTCGACATTGTTGTATCTTCCTGTCATTATTGTCCCAAAATAATATTTGGCATTACTTTCTAAGATACGGTACGCAACGTCCATCAACAGTTAACTTAAGCTATTGTCATTTACCATATCAAATATGAGCATTTATAATATTTTAAATTACCATCGAAGGCATATTTAAAAATAAATAAGTTACTTAAATACACGATACATAAATTGTAAGACATACATTAATAAGGCTTAAAAACCAAATCTACTGGATAAAAACCACAGTGATAACTAGGCCTAACTAATTTTCAAGACATTAACAGCTTTAAACAAACACATCAGTATAGGAAAATTAACACATTCATGCAAATTTTAACTTTCACTAATGTATACGATTACATTCTCGTGTAATATGCATAGCTAGCAATAAAAATGAACAAAAAGAATCAAACATTTACTATGTGACATTAGCAATCAATTCAATACGACGACATTTTACGTCGTCTGACTTGATTGCAAACAATATAACAATGGCTACTGACAGTATTCTATAGTGTACAAACGTGTTACAATTACATACATTACTGGTCTAATTCGGTTCTGACTTGTGTGTGTGACTAATGTAAACCATTTCATACGAAGAAGATACACTAACATAAAGAATTTGAGATAACTTAAGTTTAACACTAATTTGATACAAACAATTTCCGAACTGTACACAGGAATAGAGCAAGTTTGGTCCCAATCATCCATGGAGTTGAGCAGTATCGGTATCCCCCCCCCCTTCACATGTGTAAAAATACAGAATATTTAATCCGTGTCGAGATGAGACAGTTTACTGAAGATAGGTAACCGTGAAAGGTTTCGACTTACATCCAACGGTGAACTGCAAATGGCTCCCCGGGGGCTTCCGCCCAACTCTGAACTCACAGAATCTACAGGTGATGGTGGTGCATGCAAAGAAAACAATGGATTAGAAGAATACATAATATTTTCTGGTAATGTGTCACCCAAACTGTTAACATTGGAAGCAACGATAGGATTGAGGCTTGGCTGGGAACCACCAAACGTTGATGCCGAGGTTTGCTGTTTCACTGGAGATATCAGGCCGGTAAAATCATAGGAGAAGGGAAAAGATGTGGAACCAAGGGTTGGCCCTGCTGTGTACGGTGCTGAAGGAATGTTTCCTAACATATCATCCGTAAAAAAACTGTTAAGTGAAGTTGGACTGGCACTTAGGCTGGACGGAGGTGACAATTCTCCGGCGGAACCCATGCTGTAGCTGCCAAGGGAAAGAGTTTTTGGTCGACTTAAGCTAAGTCCTGCTCGAGACGTCTTCGAAGGATTCATTCCCGCTTGCAGGTTGAGCATATATCTTCTTGACTCATCGTTGTTATGAATGAAATGACATCTTGGTCCATACGGACAAAGCCCCGTAGTGTGGAAAGTACGACACAGTTCAGTCTTATACTTTGGGTGACGGGCGAGGGTACGCAATTCTTGAAATCCATGAGCAAATTGGCACTTGTCTCCGTACTTACACGTTCCATTTTCTTCGAATGGTCGGCACAATTCAGTTTTGTAACGACTAGAGTTGGCTTGTATGAGCTTGGACTGAGAAACAGGCTCGCTAAGACTGCGGTCAAGCTTATGATGTTCCGTGATAGTCATAGAAATAACGTCTTCTGGCGAACTGACCGGTAAGAGTGCTCCACTTGTCGGCTTTTGTTGCATCGAAATAGGTGTAGACGTTGCCGGGATGATACTAGCAGAGTTCCGTCTAGAAACGGTTACACATAGTGGTGGAGAACTAAGACGCCTCGTGTCCAGCGGGAAAGACCCTTTATGCGCAGAAATGTTGTTCTATAAAGATAAAGACAGAATAATATAAGGATAATTACCATATGCCTTTATATATAAATATAAAGTTTACATCCGCTCTTTAGTAAAAGAACGCCTCAAATGCCGTCGGTTGTTACTTAACCAACGGTGATCGTGTCAAACCATTGCTTGTGGCAATGATGCTTATAGAATGACCTACTTTTAGTTTAATACTTAAATGATTACTGGGTTAGATGGCCTCAAAACCGGTCACAACGCTTAGAGTTTGAATTTTCCGCTATTTTAATTTAAAAACCAGACATTTGACTTACCTTGTAAAACGTTTCGTTGAAATCACAAAATGATACCAAAGCCGTTGACATTTTGAAAAACTCTCACATCTACTTTCACAACGTTCTTTTATCAGCCAACACAACTAAATTCCCTTCTGGCGAGCAAGCTTTTCAAGACTAGACAACCGCTTATTCTAGCATGACGTAAAAAGTAGGCGGGGTAGCCTTCTTAGTTGACCAATCAGAGACAGAAACGGAAACGATGTTGACAATTTCAAGATATGCACAGCACGTGACTCTACCAGTGTATGAATCACTCGGTTGCGAGAAAAGTAAACGTATTAGGCCTACACTTACAGAATGTTTGGTTATTGTGCTCGTGCCAAAAATTTTAATTTTTATATTCAAAGTTATAGTAATTCAGTACTTTTGTTCAATGTAGTAGATCCAACTGAACTATAACTCAGTCGTTAAGACTTTAATGGTTTTAAACAACTAAACCTAGTTTTATATATATATGTTAAGATTTATTTTCACCAGAGGTGAAAGTTTGTTCCGATCGGAAGACTCTTAATATAACTATATAATAACTATTCGTTCAACATTTGTCCAAATTACTTAGTTTACAATCCCATAAAATTTAGTATAAAAATATTTGTTTTAATTATAGTCTAGATAACCGAATAATTTTGTTCACAAAAATACCAAAAAATAAAAAACATCCTAAGACCCAATCATACCTATCGTTACGGTTTTAAGAAGTTTGTTGTTAAGCGCAAAGCTACACAATGGGCTATTTGCGCTCTGCCCACTACGGATATCGAAACCAGATTTTTAATGTTTGTTTAAAATTATAAATAGTAACAGACTTATTATTTTCATATTTATAAATACAACAGTTCAAAATTTAATATTACAACACTGGTTTAGTACTATCGTTTCGGTTATATATTTAAGATATCAATGGGAGTATGAATTGGTCTCAATCTTTATTTTTTCTTGTTTTATTAATTCAACTATTATTCTTTGGAAATTGAAAAAATAGTGAGTATTTTATTTTATCGGAAGTTCATAGTAAAAACTGAATAGAATACTTTTATGTCAGAAGCTTTGTACGTAATCTCTGTCGTCGGGACTGTCCCAAGCCTGATTACAAACTTCGTAAGAACCTCTGAGGCGACAGGTTTCAGAAATAATCACGTGACTGCTTCCCGCCACTTTCCTACCCTACGTGGGAAAGAAAGGGACAGATGGCTACAATTTTCTATATATATATATATATATATATATATATATACACATCGATTACAAAAGAAGACAAGTTAGTACCTGTAATTTTAGCACAACAGCGCTGGGCTATAATTCTTACATAAAAATCGCTGTACTGTATATTTTAAAGTTAAATTAAACGTGGAATTATCCTATATAAAGGGAGATAAATAACTTTTTTTTTCTGTGTGCTTCAATATCATAAAAGAATAATCGCGAACTTTCCGAAGAACCTTTTATTAATTACAAATAAAAAAAACGTTAATGTTTCTTACATTATTGAAAGTATAACCTGAATACTCTAACTTATAATCAAATACAATACTTAGTGGCATTGAAATCAGAATACACTACTACTATTGGCAACATGATGAAATCAGAAGACGCCACTACTAGTGATAATGATATAAAAATACATTACTGATAATGAAATAAGAAAATACTACTTTCTGGCAATAAAATCAGAATATACCATTACTACTGGTAGTACACTAATACTCTGGTAACGAAATCAGAATACACCATTACCACTGTTAATGATATCAGAATACATTACTACTGGTAATAAAACCAGACTACATCCCTACTACTGGTAATGAAATCTGAATACGCCACTGCTAGTGGTAATGAATCTTTTCCCCACATTATAGAATTTAGTTAAACAGCAGATTACAGGATCACAATTTCACCTGCTGTGTTTATATTAACCCAAGCTTTGTGGGCGAGGGTCAGTAGGCTTAAGATTTTATAACGCTACAACGCGGGATTTGATCTCCATTACGGGTACAGAACTCATAGCCCATTGTTTGGCTTTCTGAAATAAACGGACGAAATATTTGAATATACACGTTGAGAAAGCACCAGCTAGCTGTTATGGTCGCGCCATCTAGCGATGCTTATTTACATTTTCTCTTTATAGCAAAGAAAATAAGTCTGTTTATTCAAACACTTAAACGATAAAAATTTTGAAGATGACGCATCTTCCTGGCAAGTTCATGAAAGCAGAAACAGGTAAACAGAGGCGGAGATTCGAGACCCACCTGGTCAAAGTTTTCACTTGTTAAGAAATTTATTAATTAATTAAAAATAATTCTTTGTTTGGTATTAGTTGTTTACTCACCACTAGATCAGGCCTCGAAGTTATCTTTTCTTCACTGAAATTCACCAGTAAATAGTTGTTTGTGTTGATAAGGTGTTAAATCTTTTTTGAACATTGTATTTAACATTTGCCTGCTGAAGTTTAAATGTGTTCAAGAGTTAGTTTTAGCTGTACTTATTTTGTTTTATTTCGCGGTAGTTTTACATAGTATAATAACTGCTGTTTTAAATATATATATATACTTTTTCATTTTGGAAACAAACAGAATATCGAAATGTTTCATGCTTATTATTTCATCACTTTAGGATATGCAACTATATGAATCAGCTCATGTCAGCCAGTGTGAAGCTGTCCAAGAAAATAGTTCTGATCAACGAAAGACGTTCAACACATTTATATAGATGTATAAAAAGACATTAATAATAAAAGCAATTCCAAAAAAACTCACATTCATAATAATTGTGTAGAGACTCAAGAATACTCCACTTCCTAATAACTGTGTAGAAAATCAACAATACTCTACTTCCTAATAACTGTGTATAGAATCAACAATACTCTACTTCCTAATAATTGTGTAGAGAATCAACAATACTCCACTTCCTAATAACTGTGTAGAGAATCAACAATACTCCACTTCCTAATAACTGTGTAGAAAACCAACAATACTCCACTTCCTAATAACTGTGTAGAAAATCAACAATACTCTACTTCCTAATAACTGTGTAGAAAATCAACAATACTCTACTTCCTAATAATTGTGTAGAAAATCAACAATACTCCACTTCCTAATAACTGTGTAGAGAATCAACAATACTCCACTTCCTCATAACTGTGTAGAGAACCAACAATACTCCACTTCCTAATAACTGTGTAGAGAATCAACAATACTCTACTTCCATATAACTATGTAGAGAATCAACAATACTCTACTTCCTAATAAATGTGTAAAGAATCAACAATACTCCACTTCCTAATAACTGTGTAGAAAATCAGCAATACTCCACTTCCTAATAACTGTGTAGAGAATCAACAATACTCCACTTCCTAATAACTGTGTAGAGAATCAACAATACTCTACTTCCACATAACTGTGTAGAGAATCAACAATACTCCACTTCCTAATAACTGTGTAGAGAATCAACAATACTCCACTTCCTAATAACTATGTAGAGAATCAACAATACTCCACTTCCTAATAACTGTGTAGAGAATCAACAATACTTCACTTCCACATAACTGTGTAGAGAATCAACAATACTCTACTTCCACATAACTGAGTAGAGAATTAACAATACTCTACTTCCTAATAATTGTGTAGAGACTGGACGAAACTGTTTGGCTATTAGTATGTACAGATTGGACGATACTCTACTTGGTTATTATTGTGTACAGACTGGACGATACTCTACTTGGTTATAATTGTGTATACACTAGACGATACTCTATTTGGTTATCATTGTGTACAGATTGGACGATACTGTACTCAGTTATTATTGTGTATACACTGTACGACACTCTACTTGCTTATTATTGTGTATACACTGTACGATACTCTACTTGCTTATTATTGTGTATACACTGTACGATACTCTACTTGCTTATTATTGTGTATACACTGTACAATACGCTACTTGCTTATTATTGTGTATACACTGTACAATACGCTACTTGCTTATTATTGTGTATACACTGTACGACACTCTACTTGCTTATTATTGTGTATACACTGTACGACACTCTACTTGCATATTATTGTGTAGATATTAGATGATTTTTTACTTGTTTGTTATTGGATACAGATTGAACGATACTCTACTTGGTTATTACTGTTTATACACTGGACGATATTTTATTTGGTTATCATTGTGTATAGATTGGACGATACTATACTCAGTTATTATTGTGTATACACTGTACGATACTCTACTTGGTTATTATTGTGTATACACTGGACGATACTCTACTTGGTTCTAACTGTGTATACACTGTGTACAGATTGGACGATACTGTTCTCAGTTATTATTGTGTACAGATTGGACGATACTCTACTTGGTTATTATTGTATACAGATTGGACAATACTCTACTTGGTTATAATTGTGTGCAGATTGGACGATACTCTACTTGGTTATTATTGTGTACAGATTAGACGATACTCTACTTTGTTATTATTGTGTACAGATTGGGCCATACTCTACTTGGTTATTATTGTGTACAGATTAGACGATACTCTACTTGGTTATTATTGTGTACAGATTGGGCCATACTCTACTTGGTTATTATTGTGTACAGATTAGACGATACTCTACTTTGTTATTATTGGGTACAGATTGGACAATACTCTACTTGGTTATTATTGTGTACAGATTGGACGATACTCTACTTGGTTATTATTGTGTACAGATTGGACGATACTCTACTTGGTTATTATTCGGTACAGATTGGACAATACTCTACTTGGTTATTATTGTGTACAGATTGGGCCATACTCTACTTGGTTATTATTGTGTACAGATTAGATGATACTCTACTTGGTTATTATTGTGTACAGATTAGATGATACTCTACTTGGTTATTATTGTATACAGATTGGACGATACTCTACTTGGTTATTATTGTGTACAGATTGGACGATACTCTACTTGGTTATTATTCGGTACAGATTGGGCCATACTTTACTTGGTTAGTTTCTGTAATCTGTCATTATTTGTAGTTTACCATCTTCTTGTTTTTCCAATTGAATGTTGTTGTTTTTTTATTCAGGGACTTGGAAACATATTGTAACTTAATAAAAG